GCAAGCTACTGTTGATGAGCCTATTGCAACAATACCAGACGAGAGAGATCAAACGGAAACGTCTACTAGGAGATCACAACGATCTAGTAGAGCGCCTGAGAGATTTGATGTATGGGCCAACTCATCCATTCTCAAAGATCGTGACCTTGATTTTGAAGATGAGGATGGTATGGCGTTGATCTTGGAAGAAGTAGAACCCTCTTCATACAGAGAAGTTCAAGCTTCGGTCAACAAGCTTGAATGGAATGCAGCCATGGAACGGGAGATGCAGTCACTGATTGACAACAAGACTTGGGAGTTGGTTGAGCTTTCTAAAAATCAAACAGTGATTGACTCCAAGTGGGTGTAGAAGCTGAAAGACAATCCAGCAGGAGATGAGGCAAGAATCTTCAAAGCTAGATTGATGGCTAGAGGTTTCACACAGGAAAAGAGTGTGGATTATAACAAAGTTTTTTTGCCTGTAGCAAAATACGCTACAATTCGTCTGGTATGTGCACTGGCCGCAACATTCAGTCTTGTTATGTATCAGATGGATGTGATAACAGCTTTTCTTTATGGATATTTAGAAGATGAGATCTACATGAGACAACCAATTGGCTTTGAGGTCAAAGGCCAAGAAAGGTTGGTCTGTAGATTACTGAAATCATTGTATGAACTGAAGCAAGCTCCTAGGCAGTGGAATACACGTTTTGATGAGTTTATGAAGACATAAGATTTTCTACGAAGCGTGTATGATCCTTGTGTCTATATGAAGAAGGTGGATGATGAGACTTTCAATCTCATCATTCTAGTACTCTACGTTGACGACATGCTTATCTTGGCAAAAAACCAATCCGATGTCGATGAATGCAAGAGCCAGCTGAAGTCTGCATTTAAGATGAAGGATATGGGGAATCAAGAAGGATACTATGCATGGATTTTTATAGAGATTTTGAACAGAAGAAGCTATGGCTGAGTCAAGTCAAGTATGTTCGCCGTATACTTGACAGGTTCAACATGGCCAATTCGAAAGGAGTGTGGATTTCTCTTCCGGCACATTTTAAACTCTCAGCAGCTCAATGTCCTACATATGCTGTGGAAAAGGGAAGAATGTCATGTGTTCCGTATGAACAAGCTGTAGTCAGCCTCATGTATTTAATGGTGTGCACTAGACCTGATATTGCTCTAGCAATGGGGAAGGTGAGCAGGTACATGTCGAATCCAGGAAAAGTTCACTAGGAAGCAGTGAAATGGATTATGAGATATCTGAAGAATACTATGGATTATGGCTTATTGTTTGATGGCTTATTAGACAATGCCAAATCCTTGTTTGACTATGTTGATGCTGACTACGGACAAGATTTAGACAAGATGAGATCTACAACTTGATATGTGTTTACACTTGGCGGCGAAAGCATTAGTTGGAGATCTACCTTGCAGAAGTGTGTAGCTCAGTCAACAACAGAAGCTGAATCCGTGGTAGCAGCAGAAGCGACAAAGGAAGCTATTTGGTTGGATAAGCTTATCATGGAGATGGGATTAACACAAGGAGTGATCAATCTTCATTGTGATAGCCAAAGTGCTTTACATTTGGCTACGAACCAAGTCATGGATAGCAGAGTAAAGCACATTGACATCCGATATCACTTTATTAGAGAAGCACTGTTTGATAAAACAATTGAGCTAGTCAAGATTAATGGTAAACTCAATCCAGCTGATGCGTTGATCAAAGTTATTCCTTTGGAGAGTTTCAGGCGACATTGTGCTACTATGCAAGTTGTGCATATGGAGCACGAGAGATATGGTTCTTAGTTACCTCTGTATATTGTTACTCTATCCTCTTATGGCTACGGCTTAGTTTTAGTTAACTCTAGTTTAGAGAGGGACCTTGTGATAAGTTTCCGTCTAGAACTTCTCCCGGAGTAATAATATAGGTTAGAGAGGTGACTGAAATTCCTTGACATGAGTTAAGGTGAGATTGTGAAGTTATCCCTGTATATTATTACTCAATCTTGGTATGAGAGTAATAATATAGGTTAGAGAGGTGACTGAAATTCCTTGACATGAGTTAAGGTGAGATTGTGAAGTTATCCCTGTATATTATTACTCAATCTTGGTATGAGAGTAATAATATAGGTTAGAGAGGTGACTGAAATTCCTTGACATGAGTTAAGGTGAGATTGTGAAGTTATCCCTGTATATTATTACTCTATCTTGGTATGAGAGTAATAATATAGGTTAGAGAGTTGACTGAAATTCCTTAACATGAGTTAAGGTGAGATTGTTGAGATCACCTCTGTACATTGTTACTCTATACTCTTATGGCTACGGCTTAGTTTTAGTTAACTCTTGTTTAAAGAGGTACATTGTGATAGGTTTCCGTCTAGAACTTTCCGCTGAGTAATAATATAGGTTAGAGAGTTTACTGAGACTCCTTAATGCGAGTTAAGGGGGAGATTGTTGAGATTAACTCTGGTTAAGGAGTTAATCTCAGTTAAAAGTTAACTGAGGTTAGTTAACCGCACATGTAACTATTTATAGCTTAGAGTGGTTGCCTATCTTGGATATATATACCTTGAGAGTGATACGAGGACTTCACTTGAAGCAATAAACTTTCTCGAGCGTATTCCTCTGTGGACGTAGCCCTTGAGGGTGAACCACGTTATACTTGTGTCTCTGTGTTAATTGTGTTGTTGGTTTGCTAGTCTGAGAGATTTAGTGTAACACATATTTTATTTTAGAATTTTTTGATTGAGCTAATAAAAAGTACAATCTTGAATTTACTGAGATCTGAATCTAGAAGAGTTTTTCAACAGATCATGACGTATTACAAGTATTGTATAATTACAAGTAAAGTGAAGTTAAAATTTTTGTTATTTTTTCTTCTATATATTCAATATTGTTTTGATTACACATTAAGTATAATTTGTAAAAAAATCTTCGTTCATATACCATTTACTATCGTTCGTCAGTAATCATATCTAAGGTAAAAGCTGGAAACTGTAAATATGAGTTAAACTTGGATGATTATTGACAAATAAGAGTGATCAAGATGTAAATTAATGTTTTTTGATGAATTTTTCTTTGTGTTTTATGGAAATAGTTTTGTTTACATGAATGTGAGCAAAGCTAATGTAATGTGTGTGTACTTTGCTGAGAATGTTTCTTAGTGTGTTATTTGATCTCGATATAAAACTGCAGTGAAGAAACATGAAGTTGGTACACTTATTTACTTATTTAGTAAGGTATCATACTTATTTATATATAATAATGTATTGATAAGTTATTTCAAAGTTGAAGCTTGGCTACTAAAGTTGTTTCTGAAGTTGGAAGACGATATATATTTTTTGTGGAAGAGTGTGTCAATTTAGTACACAAAAATGTGATTAATATAAAATTATGCAGTACATGATTAGTGGTAATTTTGTAAATGTGAAAGTCAAGGACTTTGATGTAGAACACATCAATGAATAAAGCATGATTAGCGAAGAATGTCGCGGAAAGGCAAGCCAAGCGAAACAGGTCATCTCAAGTACGAAATCCGTCAAGTGTTGGCGGAAGGGACCCACAGCAGAGTGGGAGTCGTGGACGACGACACAAAGCGAGTCGAGCCAGTTGGTCTTGGAAACTCGAAGCGCAGCTTGCATGCAGTGCCGTGCTTTCCATCTCCAGGGAACACATGTCCAGCTCACAACTCCATCTCCATCGACTCAGACCGTTAAGGCATGGATTCCATCGAACACAGTGTCGTCCAAAGATACAACCCCATTGACGTCAACGGGACATGGAGGCCCAGCGCGAATCAGATCACCGATGGGCCCAGGCCTCGTATGCCCCCCAGAGTAGCCGGTATATAAACCCGGTGGCTGACATGTCAGTGGCCCTCTCTGGGTCGCGTCCATCTAAATTAAGCTTCGGTAAGTCACATGGCGATAGTCGTAATCCATCGAAGAAATGGCACAGCGTGTGTTTTGTCGCGCCACGTCATAACATGCTGAGCACGACTCAAGGAGTTCGTTTGGCTGGACGACTGCGGTCTTGTGGACGAATAGGAAAGAGCCAAGTGCCGACTTTTGCTGACCGAGCACAGACTGATCACAGGCTGGAGGATTTGTACGCAGGATGCCAGTGCCACGGGTACGGTCCTGTACAATACACCCTGTAAACGCGTTCCGAGGTACGGTTCACGGAAGCGCGATAGACTAGTTACAGAAATAGCGCTCTCGCTACGCACCAACTTTAGAGAAGCGGAGCGCCTCGTGTGCAACATCGCCTGCGGGTTCCTCGCAGGAGCTCTCCTCTTCCTTCATGAAATATATTTCTAGATCCGAAATCCTTTTTCGCTACAATATACGGCCCTCCCTCGTGAATCTTCTTCCTACACGTGGTCACGTATGATTGCTTCTTATTTATTTTTAACCAAAGGATATAGAAAAAGAATGGAGTACCCAATCGGAGAACATATAGATGTACAACAAGAGGTGGACAGGAGCAGTATATCATAAAGAAAGATATTGCACTTACTGTATAAACTATCATATCTTTAACATATTTATTTGATGAGTTAAATTAGAAATTACAACAGGGTGGAATCCAATGGTCTTGAATTGTCTATCAATTGAGTAAATTCATCGATATGCAATACAAATAGAAACAAATTACTAGTCTTAGCACTCCTAGAAAGTGTAGAGTACTCAAGAAGGTATTGCGAACATATTGTGGAGCACGTTTTACTTGTACCACCCCTTGCCCGTTATATGAAGATGGAACAAGAAAATTTACCGACATCAAATGGACTTCCCTATGGGAAAACGTGGCAGCGCTGGCGTAGTTTTGGCTTTTATTCTCCTCTAAGTAAAGTTCTTATCTTCGTGTGTCCGTTAGATATCCCATCTGACGGTGATCGGTTGGTCGCGGGTTTAGGAAATCTTGACCATGGTTACCGGTAACCATGGTAACCGCGACTAACCTTGCCAATCAAACTCCATCGAGCTTGAAAGCTATGGCGCCATTGGAAACGATGAATCGTCTGGAGCTCTGACAGGGAAATTACGAAGTTGAGCTCCGAACGCAATGCTGCTAAAAAGTAGACCTACCCGACTCGGGGATGTCATACAGCTGTATGGATACACCGATGTTGTCGGCGGCTTTTCGGAGGCGAGTTTCGTACCTTGATGGAAGCGGATGATTGCAGAAGCCACGGTGCTGCAATTCATTGGAAGAAGGCACAGAGTTTTTCAGGTGACGCACCAAGCCTGGATGGTTGACGTTATATGGCGGACTCACCAATCGACATTCGTGTCATTGCCCATTTTGTAAGGTCCTCACTCCCTCTCTCTAGGCGTGAAGGTGTGAAGTAGCCCGTGTTTTGCCAAATCCCAAAGGTCGAGTAAAGTGCAACTTTTAATTCCAGGATCCGTTGCGCGCCGTGAGGCATTTGTTCAAGGCCTTTGTTCTCGATACATTCGTTTGGCCTGCAATCTTTGTTCTTACAGGGATAGAGTTCTCAGCTTTTCTCATACTATCATTACCCTTACGAGTGGGAGCTTCACGGGAGCCTGTCAAAGGGTACATTCTCCTCAGACTTTTGTCTGAACATCGGAACAGGAGGAATCCTATCGTACCAGTTGTTGCAAGTGTTAACCTCAAGTCGTGGAAGATGGCCAAATTTGAGAAAAACCATTTGTTGGGACTGCTAGTTTTGATCGTTTTGATAGATTTTATTGTGCTGGCAATTGCCGGCTGGGGTCTTGACGAACATATTGATGGGACCTTCAATGTTGGGAATGGTGCTAGCTTCTACCTCATTATGCTCACACTAGTGGCCGGTATGGTGGTTCTGGCCTCCGCTGCCGCTGGTCTTCTGCACTTTAAGCATTTTCGCGGAGAGACTCTGTCTGGAGCATCTAGTCTCTCCCTTCTCGCCTGGTTTCTCATGCTTCTAGCTTTTGGAGTAGCCTGCAAGGCTATTGATCTTGGAGGTGAGAAGTCTAAGATGAAAGCTTTGGAGGCCTTCGTGCTCATTCTCACCTTCTTCCAAACCGCGTACGTTGCTGTATTGCACGCTGGCATCTTCAATAGCAATTACGGGCTCGGATACTAGGTGACATTCTTGTAAAGGCAATCAATTTTTGATACTCTTCTTTTGCAAGAGCTGGAAATGAGCGGTTCTGGTTGTACAGATGTTCTCTCCGAAGCGACTCTGTAATTTAGAGGTTTTTAGTTCTTGTCCAGCCCATTCATGTTCACTTGGGAAGGACCTTACCTCACGATTTCTTACTACACCGTTACACCAAATTGGAGTACTTCAGCAGTTTATTTTGGGCCTGGAGATCTGATTTGCTTGCTTCCGTGATACGGTGGAGTCTTGTCGAAACGAAAAACTGAACTTTAGATTATGGGTATGTTCGGAGGCAAGTAGAATCAGTTTGTATACAATCACAACCTAGCTAGTTTGGTGTGATGGAGCCTTGACTCAGACAAAAGAGGAACGAGTCTGGCCTTCAAGTGGATGGTACCCTTGTATGTACATAGTGTGGTGGAAACATCTACGATTAGTTTTCAGCAATTGTTTGATTCTATTGACATAAAAGGTCGGGTACCATCCACTTGTCGAAGGGATAAGCAGTATGACTTCATGGATTGTACTGCATTACAAATGTAAAGCATTTGCCACTCGCTCTGTATGATTGAGTGAAAGATTTATTTTTCCCATTTGCTTGGTGAGGTTGTACGATAATTGGACGACGGCTCAGTCAGCATATACTGTAGACAATGTAGCGTGGGGTTTTTGTACAGCTGTTGTGAGAGTACAAATTAAAAGTCTAGGTGATTTTTTCATGTCTCTACTCTTACAAAAGACCAAAAGGATTTTAATCACGATGGTGGCCATTTTCGGATCAAGTGATATTGTATGGAGTAGCAAATGTTGATTATTGATGTATTGCTCTTGTGTTGTGCTTCTGGTCAGGACATCGATTGCTTCTATGCCCAGTCAGAAGTATTAAGATGTCCATCTCTGAGAGGTCGACCGGTGGGAGTCACTCAGGTCACTCAGTCACCCTTCATTGATTCAACACTTTCTGCACATCGTCATATGATCATGTTTATTCGATAGTCTCATCAGTGCTGGAATGGGGAAATATCTAGAACATCAAGAGCTGGCATTTGTGATCGTAAATGTGTTAACGAATCTCATAGTACGAAAGTCTACTGTGAACAGAAATTCTTGGTGGTTACGACAAATTACATTGCGCGAAGTTTGGGAGTACCCAAGATGGTATCCATCGACGAAGCCAAGAAAGTGTAAGGATCCTTGTCCAAAGTTGAAACGGCAGAGTACTGAAAATCTGCATTACTCAGTTCCAAGAAACATTGTAAACGTTCTCAGAAATATATTCTTTTTCACTATGTAAAGACGAAAAAGACAGGAAGGTTGTCTATATGCGATGTTACAACCATAATATTCTAACAGATAGGTTTATCATCTGTCATCCAGGCTACCAGCTCTTGTCCTCGTGAACGGAGAAGATTTAACACCTTACAGAGCTGAAAGCAAACAAATAATGGCTGTTCTCGGACGCTATGGCGTTGTCCAAAGGTCTCACTATTTTTCGATCGAGCAACCAGTTGTTCCTTCACTTTTTCATGTTGTTCTACAAACTGTGTCGGTATACATCACGTAGGATCCACAGATTGATCACTCTGGATCCTACGTTGTTCAAGTACTATCATCGAGTAGGATCACCCAGGTTGATCGGTCTGTGAATACCCCCCTAAGTTTTTCTTGACATCGCATCCTGTAAACTTTCATGTGTTCTTACCGGTCCTTATGTTCGTACTGCCATCCACGTAATTAGATCTGGACTGGATGAAGGGGCCGTAGACATAACTGCACAGGTGAAAGCTCGGCTGCAATGTGGTTTCCCAGCTCTGTCCTTTTCAAGCCACATTTTGGGCTGGGAGGCTGTGTCAGGCGAGCCTGGAAATGACTCTGGAGGCACTTTCGTCAACGTAGACTCGACTAAGCTGGAATTGGAGAAGATATCAGGCGTGGATACTGCATTATTGGTTGGGAGTCAAGTAGTTTCTGAAATGCGATCAGCAATTGAGAAGGAAACTGGCTTTCAGTGCTCATGCGGTGTTGCTCAGAATGTGAGTTTTCAGTACGTAGTTTCTATTGTTCTCGTCTTTCCACCTGCTGGTGAGTTCTGTACATTCAAAGTGTAGAGTCTGAGTTCGAAGGCTCAGGAGTTCGGCCTTGAGAAACATACCAGATCACATTTCACATTAGGAATTTGATAGGCTTGGCTGTGATGAAAATATCCTGTGGAGAGCTGAACATGTTAACTGGGTGTTTGGAACAGAAAATGCTAGCCAAACTTGCGAGCTCTTTGAATAAACCCAGTAAGCAAACCTGCTTGCTCAGTGGTGCAGTAGAGAGGTTCATCGCACCTTTGCCTGCACGTAAGGTGAGTACTACAGTTATGGCCCTGCTTTTCCACCACAAATGAGCTTCTGATTTCCACATACGGCACTATGAAGAGGTGCTTGCAATTCGGTGAAACAATTATTGATGGAGTGAGCACAGATTCCTGGTGTAGGGAGGCAAACTGAGGCAATTCTCCTTGATCTTGGCGTGCAAACAATTACTGACTTGAAGAAAGTCTCGGTGTGTCAGCTTTCTGAAAGGTGTGATGCGCATTCTGGATAGACGATTATTCTTAGTAGCCGCCCAGAACTATCTCTGAGTAACCCACGTATTTACTGCAGTATCTAGTCCTTCGATTGCGATCAACGAATGCTGTTTGTTATCTCTTGTAAGTTTATTAGACACTAAAGCTTGTTTATTGTCCAAAGTAGTGACCTTCGCACGTACTCGCCTGACCTTAATTCGCTGTTCGTTCAGAACAAGCTGTAGTGTTGGTTCTTGGTTTTGGATAACCCTCTAACATATGTTGTACATAATCTATGCCTTATTAGGCTTGGTGCTCGAATCGGACAATTTTTGTACGATGCCTGTAGAGGCCGAGACTATACACCTGTGCTGGATAAAGGACCCCCCAAGTCGATCACTGTGGAGGACTCGTTTAGAAACTGTACAACATTGCAGCAAGCCGAGGTAACTTTACTATACAGCTCCGTATTTAGCAAGTAGTCGGTTTTTTTGCTTATAATCGCTTACGTGCATGATCGGTCAAATTTTCGAAATCTTTTCAGGGAATTTTGCGCGTTTTGGCCCCAGATTTGATCAAGAGATTGGATGAAGACAGAGTGGAAACTGGGCGGCGGCCAAAGTCTTTAACTCTCAAATGGCGGGTCCAGGGGCCGAAGTGGTGGGTAAGCTCTGAACTTATTATATTCATTTTACCATGAATCAAGCTTCTCATGGACGATTTATCGCAGTTGGCCAGAACTTCCGTCCATCATGCATTTTTAGTTCAGTATGTTGACCTTGTTTTATGCTTTATCTCTGTGTTACTATCTTGTAGGAATTTTATAAGCGTGTCAACCGACTTGCCGGTGGAGCTACTTTCGCCATCACTGTCCAAGGAGCAGCGGGCTGCTGTTGCAGTTGAAGTGGCATCGAGGCTACTCTTAAGGAATCTTGGGCACTCTTTCCATCTTGTGGTTTTGAATATTGGTGCAACAAATTTTGTTGAAACTTCGACGAGCGATCCTGCGGTTCGTGACATTCGTTCGTTCTTACAAGCACAGGGGAACTCTCCGCGAAAAGAATTGAAGGTCACCAGTAAAAACGACGCGCGGGCCCGTCGGGAGAGCTTCAAGACTATGACCAGTGCACTGCCTGCAGGACCAACTGGAGCAGTGCTTGGATTGAACTTTTCGGCCGTAGCAGATAGCCAAAAAACCCCGGATACGCACATTTTCGGTAGCGGACACGTCGGTGACGAATATCAGCTGTCCAATAGTAGTGACGGTAAAGCCGCTTAGATCTTCTTCTGTTTTTCCAGTGATTTGTGTCGGAAGCGCATTACATAGTCGAGGGATTGCACCTTGACAGTCTTTGCATGCTTAGTGCCTCCGTTTAAAATGTCGAAATGGTTGCATGCCCCCTGCAGAAGAAGACGGATGGAGGGACTTGGCTGATCAGTTGAAGTCCGGCGTACGAGCGAGCTGTCCAACAGCTACCAATTTCACCCAAACTCAGTCTTATAAGGATGTATCCGATCAACTTCAGAGCCAGCAGAGCACTGATTTGCTACATTCAAAGTCAATCTTCAAAACATCACATCCAGCAAAATTGAAACAGTTTTTTGTCGAAAACGAGGATGTGATGAAGCTGGAATCTCCCGACTCTCAGCGTGCAGGGGTTACAAATACAGGCGGTCTACATTTTCGAACACAAACTGCTGGGTCGAGCAGAATTGCGAATTCGATCGCGAAGAGAGAGGTCGTTCCTGAGTCGACTAGTCAGAAGAAGAAGCGGAAGTCACGGAATGGGACTTTAGATGCTTTCGTTATACGGAAATGAGGAGTTCATTGCGGTTTGTGTTCTGTACATGAGTAGCATCACGCCTGTAACGGGAAATAACAATTTTGCGGCGCTCGTTGATTTTCCCCAGACCTTTCTTCAAATTTTTTGGAAAAGGCTTGTACATTAGTAAATATGAATTCATTACGCTGAGTCATGAGCGGATTCTCTCTAGCGAGCGAGTGAGACTCTTATTGATAAATATTATTTAGATATATTTTTAATAAGTTAGAAATAATTTTATTTCCATTATAATCAAATATGCCTTTTATAATACATATCTAATAATTTCAAGACATATTGGTTGCAATATGAAATTTAATTAGAAAATATGTGTTTAACTTTAAACTATAACATTCGTTTAGAAATAAATTAATATGATTGATTATTTCAATTTAACCATAGCTAACAATAGAATGATTCATTGAAGTATATATCAATGCAAATTTAATTACATATGATGTTTTAATGTAAGAAAAAAAATTATAATATAGTGTGATAAGCAATTTTTTGCTTGTAGATTTAGAAAGAATAATCCATTAAAATAAATAAATTTATTTATTATTTTAAGTATTTTTAAAATAAATTTTACCATTAGAATAAGAAAAAGTTGCATTGTATAAACATAACATATTTAATTACATATCTTATTGTATTTAACAAACGAAGTATTATCTGGTCATTTTAAATTAACACACTTGGCCAAAACTTCCGTCCAGCATGCGTTTTTATTTGAGTACGTTGACCTTGTAGTATGCATTATCTCTGTGTTGCTATCTTGTAGGAATTTTTAAGCGTGGCAACCGACTTAAAGGTGCAGCTCCTTTCGCCATCACTGTCTAGGGAGCAGCGGGGTGAAGTGGCATCGAGGCTACTCTTAAGAAATCTTGGGCGCTCTTTCCATCTTGTGATTTTCAATATTGTTGCAACAAATTTTGTTGAAACTTCGACCAGCGACCCTGCGGTTCGTGACATTCGTTCGTTCTTAGAAGCACTGTGATGTCAGGCGGTTTCTGTTTTCCTGTACATGAGTAGCATGATGTAGCATGTAAGGGGAAATGACCACTTCGCGGCGCTCGTTGATTTCCCCATACACTCTGCATTCCCTGGACGGAGTCGCAGTGTTATGATTTTGTTTGAAATAGGCTTGTACATTCGTAAATATGAGTTCTCCACCTATGCTTTACATTGAGTCGTGAGCGTATTAAATCTTTCTTGTCAGGCAATGATATGTAAATAGGGTATGAATCTGATCCTTTTGACTCTAGTGTTCGCTGTTGCTTTACGCAGCGAATGTTGGCGATCAGTGTAAGTTCTTAGATTAGCGCAATTCCTCAGCTTTTAAGAGTGCCTGAATGTGTTTGTCTAAATTCGAAGACGTGTAACTTACCAGATAACAATGGATCTCACGCAGGTTGAACAGCTCTTGCAATTTGGCCGCATGCCGTCTCCAAGGACAGTTTCAGGGGCAGCTTCAGAGGACGTAGTGGTATATCCGAGCTGATGCGTCATGAATCGGGTTTTCTGCGTTCTAAAATCTCTTCACAAGAATGGGTCTTGCTTGCAACTAGAGTCGACACGTGATGGGATCCGGGAGCTGGCGGAAGATCCGGAATTGAAAAAGTGCCATACATGTGTTCTTTGTTGACCTCGGGCGACCGTAGGCAATTGACCCAACACTTCCTTCATGCATTCGGGTCATTACCTGCAAGTCGTTATCCAACTCGATTATGAGATAAAAGAAGTTTCCTTAGATGTTTGGGGAACCAAACCTTATTTCTATTCCTCGACTGAGCAGAGAATAAACTGAACTGTGAGTAGATCTCGTCTATCCGTTCCTGTCAGTGTACAGTTTCTCTCGCAGAATTCTTGGGTCCATCTTCGAGGCCGCTCACTCCATCGAGATTGCACCAGAATGTCAAGTGTTTCGCAGAAAGAGGATGCTTCTTGGGCAGATCCTTCGCTTCTCGTTGGTCTGCCCATGGCCGTCAGAGCTGCTCTCATGCTGAACGTACCGAAGATCATAGATTCAGCGCACCCGAAGCTCTCATTGTCAGCGGAAGAGATTTGCAAGCATGTGTCCACTACTAGAGAGCATACTCCAAAATCTGAGAATCTTGAGAAAATCCTGGACTGGCTTTGCTGCAATGGAATTTTCTCTTTGATCATCGAGGAAGGAGACGATGGCTCGAAAGTGAAAAGATATGCGCACAGTCCCAAATCTCGATGTCTTTCCAGGGATCAAACCGCCGACATGTTGCTCTTATACACTTGTCCTGAGCTGACCAGAGTGTGGCCTCACGCACATGAGATCGTGCTCAGTCCTGACGTTTCTCCCTTCGAGCTCGTCACAGGAAAGAACATTTACACATACTTGGCAGTGGATGCTCCACATGTCCAAGAGTTGTTCGTGAGAGGGCTGAATAGAACAGCTGGTCCAGCGCTGGGTCTACTCGAGAAGTACGACGAGACTTTCAAGGCTTTGAAGGGTCGAGTGGTGGATGTGGGAGGCCAGGAAGGAACAATGTGTGCAGGGCTCGTGGCCAAATACCCCCACCTGCAATTCGTCAATTTCGATCTGCCGGAAGTGGTCAAAGGAGCTCCACAAATCCCCGGAGTAGAGCATGTCGGCGGCAGTTTCAAAGAAAGCGTGCCGGACGGCAACCTATTGATCATGAAATTCTGCCTGCCGAATTGGGATGACGAAACCTGCATCGGAATTCTTACGAACTGCCGGAAAGCCCTGCCAGTGGCCGAGGGCGGTAAGATGCTCATTATGGAGCCACTAGACAGATCTACAGAGGCGACGGATGCTCACAACGAGGTCGCCAGAAGGGGATCACTGTGCACCAATTTCCAGAGCACCGTAATGTTTAGTGGAGCCAGGACGAGAACGGTGGAGCAGTTGAGGAGCCTGGCATTGGCAGCAGGCTTTTCGCAGCTAGAATTCGTGAACAACTTTACGGGCTTTGATCTCCTGGAAGCAAGCCTCTCACCCTCTGGACACTCGCAATAGTTGTTCTTTGGGCCGGCTCATCGACCCTGACTCCTCTTGTTCGCTCTATCAGTCGCTCCATGAGTCTGTAGTACTCGACTGCAGCAACAGTCGAAGAAATCATCGGAGCTATGCAAATATTTGTGAGCATTTTATTATGGTAATCTTGGTTGTGGATGTCCGTTTCGTAACTTCGTATGAGTTAAACAATTGAAGGAGTTTCATGTGTAGTCATTGTTTTGCCCTCTACTAATGTGCTTTCAGTTTCGATTCACATAAACAGTGGAGCAATGTCATAGTCTGTGGTTGATTTCTTGCAAGACCCAGCACTCATTCTTGCATTGATGATTGTAATCATCATAATCAAAATCATCACTTCAAATGATTCATCTGTTTGAATCATGTTTGTAAGATTTGAAATTATGGTGGGTTTAAATCATATTATTCATATCAAGTTTAAATAACCATAATATTTTTGAAAATATTTTTGTACTTAAGATCGAAATTACTTTTTCTGTGTTAATATATTTTTTATTTTTTTATATCTTTGCGAAAATGATTTAACATGACGTTTTTATTTCAACTTTAACTATAAATTAATGTATAAGGTAGTAGATCGTATAATTGAGAGATATGGTAATTTTCAATTTATAACTAGTTTCTGTATGATGTTTTTATGTGTTTCAAAATATTTAATATTGTGTAATATAAGAATAGATAATCATTTGATTAATAACAATAAGATTACTATAATGCAGGCCTCTTAAGGTTTGGGAAATCCCATAATTACTAAAATTAACGTAGAATATGGATTTTACTCTTCTTAATTTTGGTAAATCCCAATATTACTAAAATTACGAAAAGAAACAGAATGCAGACAAGCTATTATTCGATCATGGAACTGGTCTAGATTTGACTTCCATACATTTGAATCATCTTCGCGACTTTGAAATGTAATCCAAAATAATTGGAGTCAAACATCGAGAGATGATTAACATCACAAGTGTTCAACTTCAACTATTTTTCTTGGGTTTACTTTGGAACGGAATGGATTTATTGTTCATTGCATCCCTGAAAGATTTCAAGTGCATATTCTATTGTTTAATTGAGTTAGTCAAAAGGTGCAAACTTAAGAGTATGGACCCTCACCGAACTACCTTAACAAGGATTGCCCTGGACAAACTAATTTCTTAAACTGAAAATACTCTCATTAACTTGACCTTGCATTCCAAAATTCTGTAAATGAAAACATGAACAGTTGAATTTGAATACACGAAACAGAGCATATATCAAACTTTTAATGTTTTTTGAGTAGGTGGCTTATTCTTATTTGCGGAAAAAGTCAAGTTTGTGTCCCATTCCACAAGTATTAGCAAATGACATTCTCATTTATGATGATAAAGGCATACTTAATTTATGGACTCCGCTAGATTTAGTTTTGATTAATTCTGGGATCCGGAACATAGCAAAATATTCGGAACTCAAAAAGTGCACAAAATGTGCTCTTTGTTGACCTCGGGGACTAGTCCCAAGACTTCCGTGCACACGGTACCGTGTGCATGAAGTGTGCACAATGTACCGTGTGCATTGACTGCGAGTCGCTATGAGACTATCCAACTCGATTACGAGATAAAAGAAGGTGACTTAGATGTTTGGGAAACCGAACCTTATTTCTATTCCTCGACTGAGCAGAAAGTAAAGTGCACTGTGAGTAGATCTCGTCTATTCTTTCCTGTCAGTGTGCAGTGTCTCTCGCAGAATTCTTAAATTCATATTCGAGGCCGCTCATCCCCATCGAGATTGCACCAGAATGTCAAGTGTTTGGCAGAAAGAGGATTCCTCTTGGGCAGATCCTTCGCTTCTCGTTGGTCTGCCCATGGCCGTCAGAGCTGCTCTCATGCTCAACGTACCGAAGATCATAGATTCAGCGTACCCGAAGCTCTCATTATCAGCGGAAGAGATTTGCAAGCATGTGCCCACTACTAGAGAGCATACTCCAAAATCTGAGAATCTTGAGAAAATCCTGGACTGGCTTTGCTGCAATGGAATTTTCTCTTTAATCATCGAGGAAGGAGACGATGGCTCGAAAGCGAAAAGATATGCACACAGTCCCAAATCTCGATGTCTTTCCCGGGATCACACCGCCGACATGTTGCTTATGTACACTTCTCCAGAGCTGACCAGAGTGTGGCCTCACGCACATGAGATCGTGCTCAGTCCTGACGTTTCTCCCTTCGAGATCGTCACAGGAAAGAACATGTACACATACCTCGCAGTGGATGCTCCACAAGTTCAAAAATTGTACGTGAGAGGGCTAAATGCAACAGCTATTCCATCGCTGAGTCTACTCGAGAAGTACGACGAGACTTTCAAGGCTTTGAAGGGTCGAGTGGTGGATGTAGGAGGCCAGGAAGGAACAATGTGTGCAGGGCTCGTGGCCAAATACCCCCACCTGCAATTCGTCAACTTCGATCAGCCGGAAGTGGTCAGAGGAGCTCCACAAATCCCTGGAGTAGAGCATGTCGGCGGCAGTTTCAAAGAAAGCGTGCCGGAGGGAAACCTGTTGATCATGAAATTCTGCCTGCTGAATTGGGACGACGAGACCTGCATCGGAATTCTTACGAATTGCCGGAAAGCCCTGCCAGTGGCCGAGGGCGGGAAGATGCTTATTCTGGAGAGACTGGACAGATCTACAGAGGCAACGGATGCTCACAACGAGGTCGCCAGGACCGGATCACTGTGGTCCAATTTCCATGGCACGGTGTTGTTGAGTGGAGCCAGGACGAGAACGGTGGAACAGTTCAGGAGACTGGCATTGGCAGCAGGCTTTTCGCAGCTAGAATTCGTGAACCACTGTCCTGGTTTTGATCTCCTGGAAGCAAGCCTCTCACCCTCTGGACACTCGCAATAGTTGTTCTTTGGATAATCTCGTCGACCCGGACTGCTCTTGTTCGCTCCATGAGTCAGTAGTACTTGACTGCAGCAACAGTCGAAGAAATCATCGGAGCTATGAAAATGGTTGTGAACATTTTATGATTGTGATCTTGGTGGTAGATATCCGTTTCGTAATTTTGTACTAGGTAAGTGATTGACGGACTGTCACGTGTAATCATAGTTTTGCCTTCTCTTGAAATGGTTTCAGTTTCGATTCACATAACCCGTTGAGCAATGTTATAATTTGTTGTTGATTTCTTGCAGTCCTGAGTACTCATGTAGAATGGATATTACCATAATCTTCAAAAAATCATCACTTCTAATGATTAATTATAAAGTGAGATTTTAGGTTTGAATCATGTTTGCAAGTTTAAATATCTAAAATAAAATTTTTTCATAATGTTATTTTTATTAAAGTTAAATATATATTTTGTTTATTTTTTAAAATATATTGGTTGATAAATTTAATTATATTTCATTTATAATGTATATTGTTATTATTATTAAATTATGATTATAAATGAAAGATTTTTATTTCAAGATTACTTATAATCGATTCATACAACAGATTGTTTAAAATATATGATAATTCTCAATGTAGAATTACATCATATATTATGTTTTTATGTGTTCTAAAATATTTAACATTGTGTATACATGTTTAAATAAGGGAAATGCTAGGCACACACCCTCCCCTGCTGTGCATACATCCACTCGTTTTGCAACTGCTTGTTTTTAGTTTCCTGGTCTCTTTTGTCAAATAGTCCCGGACGTTGCAGTAGTCACCAGCTTGTGCGCAGGCTAGCCATACTTTGCGCTTCTCGCCGCCCTTGTTGACCTTGGAGCGCAGGCGACTCAAGCTGTACCCTTTCCTGTGAGCAAAGGCAAAGATTTCCGTCTCGGCTTCTTCCAACGACGCGTAGACGCGATCTAACGGCGGTGGCTCCATCTTTAGTGATATGGTGCCTCTGCAAGTGAGACGGCTACTTCTGTCGATCTGAGCGTGCTATTAAGATCACGGGCGGTCATACCTCTTTGGGGGGGGTGTGTACCTAGCAAGGGGGGTGTGTGCCTAGCAATTCCCTTAAATAATCATTTGTTGTGCAATAATAGTAAAATTGTAATACTTGAGATTAAAAGAACAATTCATTTCAAAATTATGCATAATTTTGAACATAAAAAACGCATAGAATTGTTCATTTATATTTTATATAGATATTATTCACAAATAGAAAATTGTAATATCTCAATTCCATTATACATTTCACTTCTAGTAGATACATGACATGGCTCATAACTCTAAGAAAACATTTGACAAAAATCATTCTAGTTCGAATGTTTAGAGTTTGACATTCATAACTTTTTATAGTTAACTCTGTAATAATAAATATATTCTTAAACATGAACCATCATGTGAATCAAGCTAATTCATCTCCATAATTTTATTTTATGAATGATTTTGTTTTAATCTATAATTCATTGGAGTACTTTTTACGTCACGTGAAATTTAACTCAACAACTGAATAGCTTTTAGAGTAAAATCTCTTACAAAATGTTGAGTTAACTCTACCTTATATCAATTATATATATATCAAAGCTATAACCATGATGAATGCAATTAATTGTGATTAGATTAGCTAGTATGTGCACATTTTCTTACACCTTATATCTACTAACTTGCTTTTAGTATGTTCAACTTATCTTTTATGATATAAGAGAGAGATGTAACCACTCACTTGAGACAATTTTCAACTTCACTTTGAAAGTGGAAAAAGTAGTAGTAGATTTTGACTATTGAGGTTGTGTATGCACTTGTGTTTTAGTGAAGTTTCTACTCTTGCACGTGAACGTAGTCTTTAGAAGGTGAATCACGTTATCTTTATGTTATGACTTGTATGTGTTGTAATATCAGTTGTTGTATGTGTGAAGTAGTGTTAAAAAAATTAAGAAGTTGATCATAATTAGCTTGGGTTTAACTAAATCTAGCTTGTTATAACTAAGATTCTCTAGTTATAACTAAGTTTGGCTATAATGTACATAAATATGTAAGATAATATCCAGCACTCTGCATGTGAAGCAGGACCCGAGCAAGTGGGTTGTCTTTAAGTATATGTCTACTAACTCTTCTCCACGATTGTAACCATCTTTAGTTAGTTAGAACTAAAGTAGAAGTTACTCTGAATATTGATGTAGATACTTTAGTGTGTACTAGTCATAGCTGCCACGTCAGCGATCCGCGCACTTGGTAGGTACAGAGTGGATGTGTTAGTTGACAGTGCCACGTCAGCAATCCGTGTGCTTATAGGTAAGGATTGAGTGTGTTAGTTAGTGTGTTAGTTGGGTGCGCCACGTCAGCGATCCGTGTGCTTGTTAGGGTTATCCGCCACGTCATCCATCCACTAGGAGTGGTATGGATGGTGGGGATTAGATCTTATCACCTTGTACTTGTTGGTGAGAGCTATATAAGGGAGAGGAGAACCATTGTTGGTATCTCTCATCTTCAGAGTTTACGTTTCTATCTTCGAGTGAACTTCTCTCTAAACCCTAGTGTTACAATGGTATCAGAGCGACCTTGCTCTTTCCTTGAGTGTGGATTACCCCTCATGGAATAGCAAGTGAGTGATGATGGAGTGTAGTCTTGAGAGTGTATAGAGGCTGGCAGAGGTCATTCATCTGCATGTAGAGAGAGGTGGAAGGGGGACATTGTGTTTTTGCAGATATGGACGGGATTGACAGGAATCCAGTACCGCACTGGCCAATTCCTAACCTATTCGATATTCACCTTCGTTGCATGGAGAAACATCATTTTCGGATGTACCTTGTGGCTTGTTGGGGTGCAGATTTTATGACTAGAGTGATGGAGTCAAGAGTGCCACTGATTCTTCCAATAGTTACTTATGGAGAGACTTGGGATTGTACTATATACATTCTATACTGATTGTTTCATGGATTTGAATCGCGAACCACCTGTCTCGGTTCGATTCAGCACTTATGTAGAGATTAGAACAGTATATAGACAGAAGAGGATATGGAGAGATTTTCTTGTGAGGAATTATGGAGAGGAGTACTATAGAGCTATGATAGAGTCACCTGCACCTTTTGTGACTCCTTTGCTGAGAGGTCACATAGTGATTATACTCACTTTGTATTAGAGGGAGTGTGAAAAATCATGGGAACATCAATTGATATGGGTGAGGTTCTCAATGCAATCATGGCAGAGATGAAGGAGTTGAGAAAAGCGATAGTAGATGGGCATACCAAGCAGCAAGCCATGGAAGATAAAATCTTCGCATTAGAGAGTGAGAAAGTAGAGAGAGAGAGAGTTGGAGAGATGGAAGTTGAACCTCAAGTTCAAGCTTCTCAAGTTCAGCCAGAACCAACTCCTATTGATGCAGTAGAGGCAAATAGGAGACGTCTTCAAGAGATTGAAGATCAAGCAAATCTTTTGCTTCGAATGGGAAAATCCTGTAAGGTGGAAGCTTACAAAGGGAGTAGAGCAATGGAAGTGTTAGAGGGATGGATTATGAGGATGAATATTCATTTATCCCATTTTCATGTTTCTGATTATATTGCAGGAATGTTCATGAGATCTTATCTTACGGATAAGGCTCTCACATGGTACACAACATGGGAGAGAATGCTTTCAGAACGAGGTGCTACCATTTCGTGGAGTGGAATGCAGGAAGGACTTCTGCAAAATTTTCAAGCGGTGGATTCTCTTCAAACTGCAAGAATGAAGTTGTGGGATCTGAAGCAGAAAGGAGATATTCATGAGTACATTGAAGAATTTTGTGATCTTCAAGTATCTATCATGGATATGAGTGGAGCTGAAGCCTTGGACGTGTTCAAACGAGGCTTGAAAGATCGAATTCGAAAGGAGGTGATGGTAAGCAATCCATCTACTGTGAATGAAGCAATCGCAATTGCTCAACGAATTTCAGGTGCTTTTGGTGTCACACACGGTGAGCCAGTGAGCAATTTTAGAGATCCATCTTGTCCAACACCGATGGAGTTGGGAAACCTTCGACGTAGAGAAGGTTTTGCACCAACAAGAGGACCACCACCAAGATTTGGAGGTGAGATTAGGCGACCAGGAGTTCCAAATTTGCAAGAAGGTTATGCAAATAATGGAATGGTTCGAGGAGGAGCTGGAGTTCGTGACAATCGCCAATGCTATGCATGTGGACGAATGGGTCACATAGCCAAGTTTTGTCGAGTTCGGCCGACACAACAAGGAGGACGGCCCATGCAGCGACGACCGTTCAACAATATGGAGGGGATAGAGTATGAAGAGGTGGAGGAAGCAGTTTCGGGAAACGAAGATCACCAGTAATCTTGCCTCGCGGCCTTACTGGTTCTACAAAGCGAAGAAAAGGCGAGGTTGGAAGAAAGCAATGGTTGGGAGCTCATGGAAGGAGTAAGAAGCAAGCTCAACTCATTGTCACTGATGGTTTCATGGAAGGACACAAGGTGAGAGTTTTAATTGATCCTGGAGCAACTGAGAATTTTCTATCAATGAGTGTTGCTATGAAGTTAGGTTTGATGTTGATGAAGGACGTGAGTGAAGAAGTTGAATTGCCAAACGGGCAAACTGAAGTGATAGAAACACTACCACGGAGTGTAGAATTATCCATAGGTAGATACAAGGAGAGCATTGAATGGAGAGTAATTCGTTTAGCTCGGTATGATGTCATCCTTGGAATGCCATGGATGGAACAATATAATCCGAAGGTAGATTGGAGAAGAAAAGTGATTACAAGTAGTGGATGGAAGATCTATGGAGATAGAATTAGATCTCAGAATAGGAATTTACCCCTCTTTGTGATGGGTACAGCATCCATTTCTAGAGATGATGTATGTTTCCTTGGACTTATAAGAGATATTGGGTCCACGGACAAACCTTACATCCCGGAGTCCTTGAACGACATTTTTATGGAGTATAAAGATGTTTTTCCAGATGATCTACCTGCAGCATTACCACCAAAGAGGCGAGTAGATCACAAGATTGAGGTGATACCTGGAAGTACACCAACTTGCAAAGCTCCATATCGTTTGGCTCCAAACGAATTGGAAGAATGCAAAGCTCAAGTGGAGGAGATGTTGAGCAAGGGATTCATTCAACCAAGTGTTTCACCTTATGGAGCTCCAGTACTCTTTGTGAAGAAGAAGGATGGATCCATGAGACTATGTATCGATTATCGCGGGTTGAATCAGCAAACGGTGAAAAACAAATATTCATTACCTCGTATGGATGATTTGTTTGATCAACTTCAAGGAGCGAAGTACTTCACCAA